TCGCCAACTACCACTGCTCGCGATCAACGCACAGACTCTTGGTCAACCCACGTTCAAGTAAGTTCCTTTCGCACTTCATCGTGGTCACACCCAGCTAGAATCAGTCTTCTAGAACCAATCACCTCCGATGACGTCGCGGATATCTAAAAACGTCTGATAACCCTAGGGTGTAGGTTGCCATTTGTCTTAACCTCTGTTTCTATAATCCAGTTCCGTATACGCTTCTCAAACACACAGCAGACATCTACGGTCAGATGTCCTACAGTTTTGGGAAGCGATGCTTGCTGTTCAATTCGGTATAGAGTTCGGACGTTGAAAGCTCCTACATGAAATCGACTTTAGGGTCTCAGAAGATTAGGAGTGAGGTTCGAATGGTTCTGATAGTTGGCGACGGTCGCATAGTGAGAGGTTGGGTAAGGCGTAAGAGGCTTAATGTTGGTATCAGGAATGGATGGTAAAGGAAGAATTAGAATTGAGATTATGTTTGATTGGGTCTTGTGTACTACTGGAAGCGTATCAGTAAACGATAACTTCCGGTTGCTCATGCCATGTTAGCGTATTTCTTTTTCAGACAACTGAGAGAGAAAAAGATTTGTGGGACTGCAGGATTGTTGGCATGAAATTTGATTATTCTAATGTGGGATAGAGATAACCCAAAACCCCAGCACCGGAAGGCTATGTGGTAGGAAGTGTTCTATTTCTGGGGCCGACATTTGCTAACCCCTCTTCCCATAGGGAAGGCAGCATCAACAAATTACTGCTGTCATAGCATCGTAGAGCCTTCAGACACCCATCATAGTGTAGCAGTTTACACTACAGTGGTAATTGCGTTTTGTCGAACCACTATCCAAAAGACCTTTCTGGTATGGTAGGACCTTGAGGGGACAAGCGTTCTACTGGCATATCTAGTTGGATCATTGTGATAGGCAAGCCAGATCACCAAGTCAAGGTAGCAGCTATCAGTCGACATTCCAATCAAAATATCATGAGCTAAAAAACACCTCCAGAAAGCTACTCAACAGTATTTCAAGATATTTGGAGATGCATAAAGCGATCATAATACCTTACAATGAAACAAAATAAAGATCTTAAATCTGGAAGAAAGATGTTTTCTAGAAAAGCGAAAAATTTTTTTACGGAATACAAGAGGACAAAGAGTGGCTTCTTTTCTTGCCTATTTTCAATTTACAGCAGATTTATTTATCAAAGCAAAAAGAAACTAAGCAAACAGTTTTGCTTCAGTAACATCAAGTGGTGGATAGAAGATAGATTGAGAGAGATAAGGTAATGGGAAGGAAAAATGAAATAAGTGCTTACTACAAGTATGTCGCTCTTAGGCAGAAAACAAACTCACTCCAAATACCACATAACACATTGGAATCAACAAATAAAGAGATGGATTTTAATTGGCAAACAGAAGGATAAGATGAAAACACCTTACATATGCAGAAAACTTACGTTGAAGTGATCAAAACATTTTCGTAATCCTATGCACACCTTGAATGATTACTCGTAAATAAGCTATCAGTAGAATACACTGCTGCATAACTCACTAAAGAGCATCACAACAGGGGAATAAGAATCAGCTTATAACTCGTTAAAAAAACACTAAAACATTTTAGCATTTTGATACATACCGATGGACCGGAGACATTGGTACTTTATGGCTTTGTGAGATCTCAATAAACAGAGTTGCTTTCTAACTTGTTACCTACTGGATGAAGATCGATTTTTATAAAAGACTATACTGAAATCTACTGAGCTACTATGTGCCCATTCCTGCAGTAGGCAATGAGCCACGCCAATTATGTGAAGGCTAATAATACTACCTGGCTTCCCAAAACTAGCTAGATGAAGCGGTGCTCGAACCCGTGACCCATTAGTTGAAAATTAAATTCTTAATGGATTGAGCCACGACTACAAAAAGCACTATACCACAACTTCATCAAGATTTTCAAAAGTTAAACAAACATATTATTAGAACTGTTTAAGTATGAACCTAAGATAAATCGCAACGTGCTTAAACAGACCAGTTTTAGGCAGTTTATTCTCAATTGAAACTATTGAAGCCGCTGAAGTTGTCTCGCAAACGAGACAAACAAAATCAAAGTAGAACCTCGCACACAAATGAGTCGGCTAAAGTTGCCACACTTCACACTACGACGCAAAGAACAGATGGGCAGAGAAAGAGCGATATGACTGTAGAAAAAGTTGTGTGAGAGAATAAACAACGTGAAGAAAACGGATAGTGCAAATAGTCAAGCTTTAGAAAATGTCAAGGAGTGAATACACCTGCGCCATCGTGACCAACTTCAGTCACATCAGCGAGAGTCCTCAAAACCTGATTCCTTTCGTTTCAAGGACCCCAGCCAGGCAGTCTACATCTACCAACACAGCTCAGAAGAACAGTTAGAGGCTTCATCATCTGATGTCAGGTTTTGGTCTGGCCACCCTGAACTCTGTTTCAACCTAATCCAACTTCCCCTAGCATGGCACATCGAGGTAGGAGGTCGTTCGACGTGCGCAGCGCATGTCCAAGCCATCTCAGTCGACTAAGGTCCACAACCTCATTGTATCTTGCCTAGTACCCTTCGCATGATCTCAACATTGTTCACACAGTGATTCCATCAAACGCCAGCAATGCTACGAAGACATCTGTGATTAAAACTCAGTAATCGCTCCATGTTTTCTGTTTTTAATGGTCATGTCTCACAGTCGCACAACAGGTAGGACCAAACTGCAGCGTAGTATACTCATCCTTTTATGGATAGTAGAATGTCTAGCCAGTTGGGTCCACAGATGACGTAAGTTGGCGAGTGCCAAATGGGTCTTCTGTATCCGGGCTGAGATTTCGTCAGCAACCAATCTGTTCGAGATGATGCAATTCCCCATGTAAATGAAGTAGCTGACACATCTTATTCGGAAACCAGACAAATAATACAATTCAGAATCGCACTACGGGTTCAAATACTAAACAATGAACTGCATTTAATGCGTACAAGCTTATAATACACCAGTTAGCATCAGGTTATCCAGATAAAAACAGATGGGTCAGAGTTTTGAATTTGTGACTTAATAGTTGGTAGTTAGAAGCTTAGATCAGCCAGGCATAACTCAACAAGAATGAGAAGAATTTACCGATATCTTTTCAGTAACTTTTAAAATTATGAAAAAAGTCATAGAAGCAAATACAACTTAAGTTTCCATCAATCAAATAAAATTCAAAACACTATCAAGAGTAAGCATTTTTGTGGTGTTCAATATCGCCATAAAACATTCCATTACTGAAAAACGATTCAACCAACTACATATCATATTTGAATATCAAGATAAGAGATGAATTACAAATAAGTGGGAATGGTATGACGAAAAGTTGCAGAAAGTCATAAGATGGCAAGAAGTAGATGTTAAAAAGATAGGAAAAAAAACTCAAAATTACGATTTAAATTGAAACTAGAGTATGAATACATTTGCACTACTGAGATCGGTTCGCGACGTAGATGATCAAAAGACTCCACCAAAAAGTTTCTATTTGTCAAGTGAACCACAACCTAAAAGTATACATTCCGCCACATGGACAAGACCAATCATCAGAGACTTTGTGGATTAATTCTATGCCTCGAATCCGCCTCCTTTAGCCACCTTTGTACAGCCTAATCATAAACTAACACACCTCAATCAGTGGTAGGCAATAGTTCGATATGTATCACTTCATTTAACCAAATTCATGTACACAAACAATACACATCACGTCAAAACAGTCCAAAGATGGATAAAGACAAATTGATTGACCAATTGGGTGGTTAACCATAACATTTGAGAAATATCGATATTTAGCAACGCAAACAAATGTAAAAGTGTATAATAACACCAACAAAATAAAGTAATAGTACTAGTACTAGTTAGAAAGCAAAACATGTACTTCTCCTCCACCCGATTACTGTTCATCCTAAAATTTGATCTGTTCTTCTAAATTATACGTAAATGAATTCATTCTTTAAAATGTTTTATAAAGGTAGAATTTTAAATCGCTTCAATTTAGTAGTAACCACTTATTAATTAAACATGCACGAAGCAAGATTCCATGATTGTTCTTCTTCCTCTTCGTAGTCTAAACATTGCCAGTCCAGCAAATGGAAAGAAGTAGAGAAAATGGGTTCGAACTGGTGACCAGATAACCAAATTTACTCAACTGCATACATTCTTAAGCCAGAATCCTAAGAATCGACTGATCAATCTCAAAACTTTAACACGAGACAACCTAAGGTTAATGAAAAACTTCAGAAAAGTGGAGAATCCAGCCGCAAGTATGAATACTCTTCAACATGTTGTTTCGAAATTCATCTAGTGCAAAGATAATTTTCCAATCAATAACAAAGTTGTAATGCAGTCAGCTGTAGATAACTCATTTATTCTGATTGAAGTGGATCAAAATCTCTACATGAGTTACAACTTGCATCATACACAAAAATTAATGCCAAAAATCATATTTCTAGGCGAAAAACTTCAAAAGATGATAATCGTAGAAGTGAAAGACAAAACATGGGTAGTGAGAAGCTAATCACATTAATCAATAATGATTACTCAGTCAGTATCTTACTTGCTCATCGGGGTCAACTCAGCACTATATTATTCAAATCACCCGAAAACTGATCAAAGTGAATTGTTGTGAAATTCTCAGCTCATCATGACAGTAATATAATCCCGCTACAAAATGCAGTTGTGATTTTTTGGCATACAAAAATTTTAGAGCGCATATACGATCTATTCAACACCAAGATTAATGGTTAAGTAAATGATCGGCAAAGAAAAAACTGCATAAACTGTATACTTTATCAACTGACATGAATAATTGGAAGTCACTCAGTATCCAAAAGTAACGAAACAAAAAGAGAAAAACGTCGATCAAAAATATTGGTTAAGTAATTCAATATAAATTTAAAGAAACAAATCATTAGAATATATACCATCAACAACTTAAATGAGAACAAACAACTTACCTTTAACAGCTTATCAGTATCCCCGAATTTCGATAATGGACTTAAAATCGAATTCGTTGTACTACTGTTATGAACAGTATGAATACTTCTTGATCCGATTGATGCTGTGGCTGTTAACCCTCCTCCTGCTCCCCTACCACTGGCTGTTGACTGATTTCCACTTCTATTGGATGGATAGTTTGTCGACAAGCCAAGGCCTAGTACACGTCCACTATGTGTTGATGTCATACATGAGCCTTTGAAGCATTGAGGATTATTGTTATGGTTCACCTTGGATGATATCCGAGCTGGATGACAATGATGCGATGATTTCATCAGTTGAGGTCCAGGGTTTCGACTAGTCAAAACATTACCACTCCGCCTAGTATTAGTGTTAGAGACGGCAGGTGAAGCACTATTTGCGGTGGTATTTGAAATCCTATTATTGTATGTTATGTGAGGAGTAGTGCGTGTCATATTCCTCTGATCTCGACGTTCGCAGTTTTGTTTAAGTAGTGACTTATTTTGAGATTTGTTATCATTGGGTGAAATGTTACTTGAAGCATTTTCATTCTGTAAAATTTTATTAGTTGTACTGCCATTACTACTGCTACTGACAGTACTATTCGATGAATTAATACTGGCGACGGAATGATGATGCTCAACTGAATTAGAGCTAGTCGGATTGTGCTGAACAACTTCATGGCATAGTTGAAATCCCTAAAATTTATGTTAACAAGCGTATGATCAAATCAAGATACATGAAATAAAGGATTCTCTTGAATATTACAAATAAATTGTTTACTCTAATCAACGTGAGAATGATACAGTTAGGTGTAACTCAACTGTCAGGTTTTATGGTGGTTGATCACTGAAAACCCACGTGTTTGGACAATGAACTACGATCTCCTCGACGCCGTAGATGACATCAAGTAGGCAATCAGGACTCTACAATGTATGCAACTGACTAACCAGGGTAGTTAACATTCACTCTGACAAATTGGTAGCACTTGATTAATCGATTAGGCTGGGCTAAATCAAGGATGGTACACCGTTGGAAAGCTCACCTCTAAACCAGAGAACGGCTGTCTTGTGGCGAGATCTTGATCTTAATAACAAACAAAGTGGTCTCCAACCACTTATATCAATCAGTGGTGCATATAGTGCCAATTATCAACTTACCTACGACACTATAACTCTCCTAGTGAAACTCCTAGCAATTAACGAACAGGTTATCGGTTCGAATTCTGCACCACTCAGATCAACCTAAGCAATCTGATAATAGCATAATCCTACACATATGAGGTAGACTTGAAATATAGACTAGAATAATGTACATCTTCTTGTAAGTCAGTTATTATCAACGTTACCACATAACGATGCAGATTGTCACCAAAGATAGCACCACAACAACATCCAAGGAAATAAAATTAAGGATACATTAATAATACACCCACAAGCTGTAGCGAGTCACAAGTGGAAGAGCTGAGGGATTGAAGGAAATAACAAGATATAATTAATAAAGTAGTTAAGAAGATAATGTGAGGAGATTTGTACATCACAGCTATCGATTATCAGTCATATCGTTTAAAATCCTCAACTATCGATTTCGGTTATCTCACAGAAGCCATCTTGGATGTCTTCATCTCCCTACACGACTGGGGTCAACAGTCAGAGACATCAAGAAATGGTCCCACTTTATTTTCCAGACACCTTTACACTTCTACCTTAGATTCACTTCACGTAAAGTAAGCATCAAAAAAGACAGTGACTAGATAGGTGTAACACATGCCAACCAAGGTTTATATAACCTCACAAAGTGACTCACCTCGTTTATCTAAAACCCACTATCAAACCTTTATGCTATCTAAGCAATGGTCCTATGAATGCAACAAAACAACTGGAGACTTCCCAGTTTTTCTAATATTAAGGACCATGTTTCAAAGTCATACAGTAAAAGAGAGCGAAACACAGTGAAATACACTCGATCGTTAGAAGGCAATAGGATACCTTTTCAGAGCCACTGATAGTGTAAGTTAGCAAACACCAAGCGAGTTCTTTGTATCCATGTAGAGATTTCGTCCATCACCGATCCATCACAGCTGACCTGCCCTCCTATGTAAGTGAAGTGGTTAACACGCTTGACGATTTCAGTCCCTATCTTTAGATGAGGCACCAACGTAGACCATTCCCAGAGCCAAGATTTGCATTGTGGTAGTGAGAAAGGTTTCCCAAACATTCTAAAAAGGCCACTCAAGGTGTCCAAAAATCTCTGCATCTTATCGGTGACTTAACAGAAGTGTGTTATCTGCCTACTCTAAATCTACTAAGGAGTCTATGGTAACAATTTCAATCCCTATGAAGCCATAGAGAAAAAGAGAGAGACAGAGACCTCTATAAAAAATCCTATGACAAAGTTGAACAAAATTATAAACTTGTATCTGATTATTTAGCTGTGCTAATTGAAAACTAATACTCATTTCCACTAGTTTGCTGAATCCTACTGTCTGATATCAACAAGAAACTCTGTGGTGATGATGATGATGATGATGATAATAATAATAATAATAATAATAATAATAATAATAATAATAAATATTATGCGGAGAGATAACAAATAATATTTGTGAGAGTAAGAGTTATGAAAATTTAAGCTGAAATACTTAAAGAATAGCAAGAGTAGTGGGATTTTAAATAACTCATAAATTATGCATAACAAGGGTGCAGATGGTTTTAAAAATAATTATCCCCAAGATAAGGAAAGTAAGAGAGAGATGGAGAGAGAGAGAGAGAGAGAGTAACCCAGACAGCTCATTGGGAGATGCTAGAATGAGAAGAGAGGAAGCCTTAGAGCGTGAAGAGGTTTATAGTAGAAAATACTACATCATCTACATTTCTTTGAGCACTCATCCCTTCAAAGGGAATTCGAAGCCGTCAGCTACCAATTAAAAAGTGAGTAGCTGAGACGATGAGTCACACCTAACCTGAAAGTAATACACAAGTCGATGACCATGAAGCTGGTTCGTTCAGAGCAAAGTTTGTCCAGCTCCCATAGTTACTATCTTGATCAAAAAGACACTCGATGGAAAAATAAACGGTAAGTAAATCCAGCATCAAAACGTTCTCATAGCTAGGAATCCAGTCATATATATTCCATCAAGCGTTGTAAAATACACTTTAATTTCCTTTCCTATGGAAGCAGGCAGCAGAATCGCAGTAATTAACAAATGTAAACTTGTTTATCTCTATCAGTATAAACAACTGCCATTAACTTCACGGTGCATCAAAGTACAGCTTGATTGTCTCTTTCACTGTATACATATAAAACACCAACTGAAGTGCATTTCAGTATTCCGAATAAAAAAGTACTTGGATGAATCTATAGCACACAGTGTATGCACGTAATTACAGAAGTTCAAAGTGAAGTAATAAATCTCAGCAAACAGGTAGAAAAAAAAACTACTAACCATATAAACAAGACAAGTGAACCAGAGAAAGTGAAGTCAGATAATTACAGAATGCATAAACGATAAGTGGAAATAATTCACATGAAATCTTGATGTGATAGGGCGCTAAAGTACAATAATCACTGCAACAGACAAGAATATGTTAAAGTTATTTATATAAATGAAGTTATAATAAATAATAAGAAATAAAATGTGTAAATTAGCGTTGATTACACAAATGGATTCCTGGTTGGTGACTGATGTATGGATCTATCACCTATGTGTTAATCAAACTGCATTGATCTAGCTTACACTGTGATCACAAGGTAAAGTGTTATGTTACAATGTGGTTCACTATTTAATGCTGAATGACACGTAGTTCTAGGCATGGGAAGTGTCATGATTTTTGGCATTCATCACAGTTAAGCATATTAACAACATAGGAGAGACTAATATTTTCGATAAAAATTTGAGATGATATCACTTTCGATAGTCGTTAAATATTTTAGCAATGAGTTATTCAAATCATGGATGACTTTTTGTTGGATTAGACTAATGTACATGAATCGGTCAGGTTTTGGTTAACAGTTAGTTGATCTGAAATAATCCTGCATGTCGTGTATTAAATCACAGGCTTCATATTAGCATAATTTTGATTGATCACTTTATCACAGATCCAAAACACCAACTACACTACAGCTTTATTTGAATGAACATGTTCAAGTCAGATAATTGAAAAAAGACCTATTTCAGTGGTCTCCTAATCAGTTATCAATGCAGTTTGGGAGTATACGAGGATTTTATTTCAAGGTAGTATTCAACACGAACTGACATCAGTTGGAGAAACATTAAAAACCTGGAGGCACTGAACAGCTGTTTCGCTCTAGCATAAGACTCCTCAACAATATGCACCCACCACCTCTATCACGCATAAAACCTAAGCAAAATCTTCAAGATTCACCGTAAGCACGTTAACCATTCAGCCACTGGGTCACAGTCCAATGATCTACAATTGCCTACTTCTGCCAATTCGCGATATAGCACAACTATCCACCAAGGTCTTCAGTTAGTATCTGCTTCACTTACGACAAGTTGGTCTCAGAGATCAAGGGTTCTCAGTAGAACTTCAGGATATCCATCTCGAAGTATGTCGCTAATGAGTAGTATACATTAATGTAGCTTGAGGTACTGCTGAGAAGTCCTATACTGAAATGAAACAGCTGTCCAGTGTTGCCAGATTTTCAATGGTTTCTTCAACTGGTGCCACTCCATGAATACTACATTGGGATATTTATGTCTCATATCTAAATTATCGAAACAAACACGTTGTCGTCATCCTCAACTAACCACATCATGGATATGATGCTAAAAATTTATGATGGATTAATTGTTGGTTGAAAATATCTCATAATATCTTATCTTAGTTGTCTTTTCATTTTGTAAAAACGTCAAGAAATACAGTTTGTGAATGAGTAAGTGATGATCTGCAAGTTTCAAAACTCAAGCCTCTTCTTTCAGGAAAAACAGCTGGAACACGAAAGATTACTTGGCAGCTACCATAACAATCAAGATAAGCATGCTTAGTACATCTCAAGTCAATAAGTTAAGGCATACGAAGTCTTCAGTATAGGAAATATTCTGTATTACATAAACAAGAATTCGGTGCAGCAGTGTATACAACTCCTAGCCAATTTCAAAAATAGACAGATTAATCAACGTATAACCTGGCACAAAAGTGTATCCGTTCAACTGGCGATAGTTCACAACAGTACATAAAGAAGGGAATAAAAAACAATGGTATTGCATTCGACAAAGGTGCATAGAAGGGGAGGAAATAAGGAAATAAAAATGCAAGGAACTCCTTGAAACTCTGTAAATAAAAAGATAACACATCGGAGTCATCGTAACAGATCTTCAGGTATTCATCATACAGAGTTTCTGACCTTTGATCCTTAATCCAACCAGCCTACATATAAATACACACAGTGATGTCGTTTCTTAGTATAGAGACTTTGAACTTCCTTCCATCTTAATTCTACTTCAGTGCCATTCAGTTACAGACTGCGAAAATAAATTCAACTACCATTCAAGTCGCTATACTGGGTCGAATTCCTCGACCTCTGTTGGCAGTAGGGCTCCAATAGAGATGCCTTGACACAACCTGAATATTGTAGTATCTTCGGTGGCTATCAGTGGAATCCAGGATGCGCGTTTCGTCCTATTTGGGACTTGTCAGCTGGATGTGCCTGCCTCCCAGTGAGTGGTGTTGTTCCCTCTAACATTCGGAATTAGGACCCTCATCGGTTCAGACGTCAAGGCATTATCCACTAGAGCCCAATACCCATAGCTTGCACAACAGATATTAGTCCATGTTCATTCATACTTGTAAGCGATGGGTGCTTGAAGTGATGGGTACTCGGCTCCAGTCCCAGTGAGAACAACATCACTGGGGTGTAGGCACCCCTAGTTGACAAGTTCCAAACAGGACGAAATGCACATCCCGGATTCCAATGCCAGTTACCACGTAGACCACAATATAAATTCAACTATGATTTCATAATAAATTACCCTTGAATCTTGACTGACCTCCAAAATATCAACAATAAATTACTCACTTGACTTATTCTCTGAAGTACCATTTCTTGAAAAACTTCACGCGCCGTCAGTTGACGACGGTTGTAATAAGCACCAGGTTCTAAATCACTATTTTTCAAAGAAAATACAACACGAAAGATGAAAAGAAAACAGTCAATTAATAAAAGTCAAAGCATTATACACATGCTTATTTACTGTAATAACAATAAGCGAACAAAACGAATAACCAAAAAACAAGAATGTTTTGACTACAGTCTGTAGAGAAAAGCCTCTGAAAAGATTTTTTTTGTTTGAACAACAGCCTATCAGACACATCAAAGCTGCATCCCTTTAAGACTTTGCAACAAAAACAATCAGCAAGGAAACAGACTTACTTTAGATTGAAAAGTTTATGAGCATTTGACTAACTAGATCAGGAACGCTACGGCAAGCAGCTTATTTGCTGATCAATAGAACATCAAGAATGCCTTTTCTAAGTAAGGCGGAAAAGTGAGTAGCAGTTACGCTCAACTATATGTAGCCAAGTATGCACTCCTAGTAGTGTCTGTATGTTAGTAGGATACACTAGTGAAAGATACTACAATTGAATAACTTGAGTAGTTAGAAACTATTCAGGCTGATCTGTAGTATTTCACCGGCCAGATCAGAGTGATCTGAACACCGGACGGCCGTTTCGCTCGTCTGAGGCTGAGTTCATCAGTGGTGTACTCGGAAAAATTTACTTTATAGAGCCAAACTAGTTCAGAACGCCTAAATCTGGCTACCTGACTTGCATGGACCGGTGTACCTAAAGTAGGATGATCAATTTGCAAATGATTCACAAGTTGCACGATTCACACTGACATTTCTCACAGCTGAGTAGTTTTAAAACTGCCCAACTGTGGTGTTACCAAGGGTTTCGCTGGAAACAATTCAGCTGAGATCACAAGGTGTGACCCATGCAAAATGCCAACATGGATCGTGCAATTTATAAATCATTTGCAAACTGATCACCCTATAGTTAGATACACTGATTTGATATATTTTGTTTCTTTGTTGAAATTCCCCAACTCTTATAACAACTCTGAATACTGTATTGAAGTAACTATATTTTTGTTACGCAATCATTTGTATTATCGTTACATTTTATAATCATATGTTCCTTTATATAACTGATTTTTCAGTAAAAAACAGTACTACTTTCCCGAATGCCAACCTGCGCGTTGAGTTCAACGTTCATCATTTTTTTCGATACGAACATAGGCATGAAGTAGATGGTATAGATGAGTTAGTTAGCAGGCGAATCCAACGAATTAGCTATGATTGGCAAAATATAGCAAACTTTAGTTTACATATTCATTTCTTAATCACTCCAGTTTAGATACTACTTTTTGGCTCTAATCAAACAAAAACACTAACTCCTGCCAATTCGTTAGAGTAAAATATGACAGAGTTTGAAGGCAACTCTAACAACTGCTTAGATAATCAATCACCATTCATTTTGTGAAAGAACCTCCCAGATGAAAAACCGAAAACTAATTGGTTATTACAACAGTTATTAGGATGGCCTTTAAAGTTACTCGTAAAATATATGCAGTACGACCCAGTAACGATAGGCAAAATTATGCAATAGACTAAGATATGCTTATTGCATGTAACTTATTGATACTACTTAACTAACGAATGACTGGTAGGCGGAATGGATTCGAAGGCCAGTGCGTAAGTCAGTAATAGAAAGTGATGGTAAAGCCTGCTCTACCAATAAGTGAGATACCCAATCAAGTCTCTGGATTTCGGTCAGAAAGATAGTTTTTCACAAAATAGGCAAACTTGGTCGATCATTTCAGTAGTTGTTATGCTGGCCTTTAAGCGCACTTGTAAAAAGTGGTTTCTATACATGGGAACACATGGACAAGCGTTAATTACGAAAGACATTTATCTGAACAGTAATAAGTCATGAATATAACATTAAGTAATTGAGTAATTCATTCAAGTTTCAATACATAACTCAGTTTCGAGCCGATAACTAGAACCTAATTACGGAAGGGCAGTATTACTACCATGTTGAACAGAACAGATAAAAGTGGATAGGAACTGAAATTTTACGTTTCATCATTTCAGTATCCAGAGGTTAGTTCGACAGACTTGGAAACATTCGAAATCAAAAAACTGATGGCTACTATCAGCCATTGGAGATTAATTTATTATAGTAGAGAGTTAAGCGTAAAATTTGCCATATGCATTGTATTTTACTGCATACTCTTCACTTGCCTACAAGCTGTTAGTTGTAATTTATATTGGGACAAATAGAGATTGATATACTTCACAGTTTACAATCCATAATTTACAGGAGAGCAGTAGCAAAGATTGAAGTAAAAGGCTAGAATAAAACAGTTAAATAACAGAAGGTTATGTAAGGGTTATCCTACTACCGTCTGATAGATAACGGATTTTAAATTCTGAAGTGTATTCAATCTCCATTCGTTTTATCAATACAAATAAGACTAACCTGTAAGCAACTTGTACGAATGCAAGAAAATACAATGTATACTACAAAATGTATTCACGATGATCTATTCAGTATGAAGGAATTCATTACGTGGACAATTTTTTAAGTTTTATTGAATTTCATTTGCATTTACCCTCGAAATTCCCCGTTGTTCACCTTACTGGACTGAATTGATTGCTTTCTATTGTCAATTTTTTCCCTTCAGATTGGTGATTAATGTAATGATCTATTAGGTTAATTATTAACTGTTGACCAGTAGTATAAATGCAGGACATCTATTTCATTTTATTTTAGACTTGTCAGCTAGACGTACTTGCTTCCAGTTCCTAGCGTGGCACCAGTCCATGAAGTCTCGAACTCTTAGTCTCAGTCATGTGGGGATATATAGACTGCCTGGTTGGAGTCCTTGAGACGAAAGGAGCCAGTGGTTGAGGACTCCTCGTGACATGACTGGAAACCGGTCACAATGGTGCAGATGTATTCCCTCCTTTGATTTTTTTTACAGCTTGAATATTTCCAATAACCTTTGTCTTGAAATTTTTGATTCTCTCACATAACATTGTCTACCTCAATATCACTCTTTTGATATCTACTTGTTCTTTGTATATTACTGTGAAGTGTAGCAACTTAAGCCGATGCACGTGTATGCGAGATGCTACATTGATTTTGTCTGTCTTCCGGTTTCTAGTAGTAATGTAACAAAGATTCAATAGCAAGAACGCTGACCAAAAGTTGACTATCATGACTCAGCTGACCCCCAAAAAATGCTTCAGAATTTGAAGTGACCACTATCAGCTTCAAATGTACGTGGTAACACTACTACTCACTGGGATACAAGCACATTCCTTTCAGTCCTAAAGATGACGGAAACTGCAGCCTGAAGTCCACAGCTATCTACACTACTAATACTACCACTTACAACAAAATAAACCACTACCCCTTTATTGCTAATCGATACATTTAATTTCTCGTTGCCATAATGGGTCAAATTGCTTTACCTCTATAGATGAGTTACTATGCTGATGACTCGATACTTTCAGAGTCTTCATTATGTTAGTCTGCATGCTTGCTGGTAGTGGAATCCAGGACGCGCGTCTCGTCCTATTTGAAACTCATTAGTTTGATGTGCTTGCCTCTCAGTGAGTGATGTTCCCAACAAGACTCGAACCTCGTAGTCATCATTTCAAATACCAAAGCGTTATCTACTAGGCCATAAATATCCAGACAGTATCGAAACATCCGTACAGGAGCCCATCTACCAACAGAAGTCAATCAATTCAACACAATATAGCAACACAAAATTCAAGTATTAATAAACAACTGATAATCGTTGCACAAGAGGTGGCTCTCGTGTCCCAGTGGTTAGAGCACTGACGTTTGAAGCGACCAGTACTGGATTCGAGTCTGGAAGGAAATACCAATCACTAGGTACAGGTTCATCCAACTGACGAGTCCAATATAGGACAAAACGCGCCTCCTGGATTCCTCTACAAGCCACTAAATAGACTACTTCTTGTTTACATTACCCTGATTTGATCCACCGCAATATAATACGGATAGGATCTTACAGAATGCCAGCTACAATCAGTCAGATTTCTATTCGTCTATAGAGTTCACTTAGAGAAACAACATAAACACCCAAAAACGTATAAAATGAAAAGAACAAGTCATCCTGTTCGTGACTCGATCATTCACAGAAAAACACAGTCATTTAATTAAGAAGAAAAAGTATTTACAGATGATTAACCCTTTATACCCATTGGGCATGGAGTCGATTTACGGTCAAATACGTAAAACAAAGCATAGAATAGATTAGTTCCAAATAATGTTAAATGTATAAACATTATATGAATCAACAAACAAACAGACCAACAATTTGTCAATTGAAAATCACTTTGCCTTGTTTCCCACTATTAAAGATATTTGACAAACAGTAGAAACAACTAAAATAAACAATGTATAGACACAGAGATTATCTTATAACATCATGAGAAGTTCATAAAAACACCCGGAGTATAAAACAAGACAAATGAAGACCAAGAAAAACAAAACATTCTTCTCTATTCGGAAAACGTAATAGAAATAGGAACAACAGATAGACAAAGAGAATGAGAGAGAGAGATATATACATGAATTCCAATAGCTGATTGTCCTTAAGACAAAAAATTTATGACTGACCAATTGAAAATAATTATGAGGAAGATACATGAATTTAGCTTTGCAACATAATTTTATTCGCTCTACTGATTATCATTTTTCAACCCCTGATATCATTCAAATCAGTCTATTCCACTGATATTTGACAGTGATTAATTTTTGTATAGGTTTATTTTGAAACAGATATGATGTCCATTGTGTTCCTGACATCATGAAGATAATCGTACAGTTGACTCTTTTGAAGTCTATACTAATGCTTATGCTATCTAGAGAAACAATGAATACTAGACAAATAAACCAATCACTTCGATGAATGAAATTTCATTAAAATCCTAATCCAAAGAAGCAAATCTTCTCTACTATCAAGAAAGTCATGATTTCACTTAGTATATGATCCAAAATCTAACATATTTACAAATACAGTCAATAAAAACTTAAAAATATGAACAGCGTTCAGAAGTGAAACATTCATCCCCTAAGTTACACCATCTTAACAACTAAGTATCCCAAATCTTTTTATGCAGTCCAAATAACCGTTGGAACATTGGTTAACACTTAGGCAATTATCAGTTAAACTATATGTGACAGATGTGGTTTGGCAGACTTGTATTAATGTGAGGTGATGATTGGAGGTGAAATGAAACTTTGGGTCTTAGAGGGATCAAAACTAGCGGCCGTGAGGTTACCAACTCGATGATCTAGCAACTGAGCTCCGAAACCCAACCGATGACTAGATTGCTATTTCACTTCAATCACTAAGGTTCTTACCCGAGTGTCATGTGAATTCATGACGCTTTACTATAGCTTGATCGTACTCACACTGGATGCTCCACTCAAGATTTCTAGTCCAAATTAACAGAACTGCATCGGTTACATCCCATAAACAATTTATTCAAGTAATCTAGCATTAAAATAAATTCAACTAGGCCTGAAGAGTTAAGAAGTAATGTTGTTGACTTCAGGACTGAATGACATTGTTTTGAATGTGCAAGAGAACACTAGTTTCACTAATTCCAATAAGGACTACTAACAAGCAATTAACGCAAATCCAGTGCTTCCAAGTCAATTTACTTCAAAAATCTATTTCTAAGAGTTCGGTTTCTTTGAATCCTACTCAAACAATTTTGAGAAGTAAAGAATAAGCACCAAATAAAACCCCAGCTCGGATAACAACTCACTTTGAACACACTACAGTTTAGAAAAAAGATCTTGTCTGAAACATGAAAATGAGAAACATATATTGCTTTTTGAAGATAGGTTTCATGATTGAGGAATACTAATCAAGCAATAGTGTGAAACCCGAATCCATAAGATTTTGAATGATAAAACTGCAAATGCAACTACCTTCAACAACCGAGTCGTGCATCATTTAGATGATACTCAACTACAGGCTCTGGAAAACTGGCATGCATATAACAACATTATCTAGCATACCAGATTGCTCTTTACATATCATGAGCACTAGAAGACGATCGAAAGGCGGAACCTTTTGCTCAAATGTTTCAGTACACATTTATGGAGAATATCAGTTGCGATATCGCTTTCATAATCGATATTCAAGAGTGTTGTTTGTTAAGACTTTGGTAATGGTATTGTGAAGCAGTTTTTCTACCTTAAATTTTAACTGATAAATCTAAATGAATAGTTACAATTTAGTAGGAATCCTCGGAAAATTTTCGATTCTTGACTGAATTTTAGACAGAAACTAGCCAAAGTTAAGTTTCTAAACGATACCGTAACATTTGACTTCAATAAATTTAATTGCTTCATATGAACATCATATGGGTGTCATTGAAAGAATTGTGTCAAATTAATTTCTTGATGACTGTAGTTTGTTACACGACAAGATCAAAAGTGGAGGGAGAAATAATATCTACAAGTGGAATCTACGGTAGAACTATCAAACTATGCCGTCCTTGAGCAATCTTGAACGTACGAATAAGAAAACAATCGTTCCTTTCTAGTTTTTAATAAAGAAATTAAATGAAATTCACTTTAGATACAGTTTGTCAACGATGTTTAGGAACTTAGCAATATTTTCTACTGCTTTTTTTCTGCTTAAACTTTAAATACAGTCTATGAAGATACCCATCCACATGAATTCAAAGTAGTAAACCATATGAAGTGTGAAATGGACGTAAATAAGCCTTCAATTGGTCTCCAATCGCCCCTAACTTACTATTATAAACTCCCGTAGAATTATTCAAGAAATAGAGTTTGAAGATTTCGAAAAGACATTAGGTTCATAGCATTGAAACTAGGTGAATTTCTGAGTAAAAAGCTTCAAAATTGAGCCATATAGCACCAAATAAACAGCGAGCAGAACCTCTTATTATCGCTACCTCAAACCTCGATAGATAAAGTTAGGTTCCGACTGATCCCCTATCATTTGAAGACAGGGTCTTTATAGCACTATACAACAGGTCTATTAAGGTTTTATGAAGATAAACGCTATGTTGTGTTATACCATTCAATAATATTATGTAAAATCTGGCACATAAGTTCATCGGTTTAAGTTGCCACACTTCACAGCAGTACACAGAAAAAAAATCAAATAAATAGGGAATGATAATGAAACTGACGAAAGTATACAGAAAAAGAGGAGATCTTTAAATAAATGAAGGCAAATAAAATATGACGGTGTCAAAGCCACAATCGGAAACACAGTAAGACATTTCACCAAGAGATTTCACCAATCTGAAATCAGTGTACAGATCTACTCCACTCCACTCAACTCAACTCAACTCCACTCAGCATAAAGCATGAACAACATCCAGATTTTAAACACCAACATCAAGTCACTCCTTCTACATCATGCTTCACAGACTTGGAGCATCATGAAAAGCATTTCCAACAAACTACAGACATTCATCAACAACTGCCATCTACGCTCGCCCACTCGATGATACTGAAGATCAAATGACCAGAATAATAACAATATGCAACAACCAACTCTCGCTGACTGGCTAACTCGCTGGCAACAAACCAACCAACAACCCATCACCCAACAAATATGCAGAAGAAGAAAGTGGAGATGGATTCGACTGGACATACACTGAGAAAACCATTCGGAGACATCACGCCTCAGGTCACGTCGTCAAGTGTAATCCAAAAAGGAAAAGATGAGTTGGGCATCCGAGTTAAGGGAGACATGGAGGAGATGGTGTTAGGAAGAAATGGAAGCTTGTGGGTAGTCATGGAGCGAGGTTCAAAAGACTGAAGAGGACGGAGTGAAATGGCGACGTGCTACTGAAGCGCTATATTCCGCTAGGAACCCAAGGGACAAGTAATAATACTAATTATATATATATATATATATATATATATATATATATATATATATATATATATATATATATATATATATATATATATATATATAAGTCTCATAGTTTCGTCTGCTTTATACTACAACTTTAATTGGCAGTCACTGGTCCTCTCGGATATTGGTTTACGTAAATTTCTCCGTAATATTTGCACGGCAAACGAAACTAACCATGAGACGACACAATATTATTCCAGAACATTACATCGTTTAGACTTTAAAAACCTATCAAACCGTTTGAATCTATGGACGAAAACGTTGACGTCACTTCGAAGGATGCATACCAAGTGATTGTATGAACATATATCGACAACTAACGAACTATCCCTTCGAATCATAAAGTAAATAAGTTATGACTACTACGCATGTGTCATACTACAGAAACAATTTGTCGGAATTCCAATGAGAAATCTTAAGTTATAAAGCACACTGAGTTAGAATATCATCAACTGTTTGAAAGACGAAAAATACCAACAGTTAGATTTCAGTGGAATACAATACAGAAGTGCCGTCCTTAGTGTGACAACTGATGATTTTCGGTTATATCATGGAGAAAATAGAGACCTCAAATTTAGACGAGATGTAAAACATCGATACTTCTGAGACAATGATTAAGCCTTCAATTATTTACTACAGGATTATATGAAAAATATCTTCGAGCACAAAAACAAACGACATTTCTCTTGTGTACTCCCCAACTCTTTCTAATTAGAAAATGCAAGTGAGCTGTTTGACAAGCTCAACGAGGATCATCCTAGCATTAAATTTACGATGGAATATGAACATGAAAGAGTTCGGTTTTATGGACCTCAAACTGAGTAGGAGAATTGATGGTACGATTGAAAAGATCATTCATACAAAAGCACATGGACCTGAGAATACTTCAACTATAACAGTTTCTGTCCTGCCAGCTAAAGGAGTGGGGCTAGTCAAAACACTATACAACGGAATTAGGAAATTATGTTTTGCTAACAAGTTGGAGGAAGAACTCAACTTTATTGAGAAGTGTCTCCAAGAGAATAGATATCCTAAGAGATTAATTATGAAGCATGGAAAAAAGATGGAGAGAAATAAACAGTCAACTGTTGAAAAGAAGAAGGCAATTATACACCTTGCATTTAATGGAGATGCATTATCCAAGCGAATAGACACAAGAATCAAAGTACCACTGAGAAGGAGCTTTCCTGGAGCTAAACTTGTATCAGTATACAATACCATATGCTCACTGAACCAGTGGTAGCCAGTAAACTGGAGAGAAAGGTATCCATTCGGTTTTCTAAGCATATCGCCAATGCAATTGCCAAACACATTGTAGACACAGGTTGGAACCTCATCTGCTTTTAAAACAATTAATGTACAGAAAATGTCTGGATTACTGAGTTTCGCAGAAGCAACTGAAATAAAACGCTTTCAATCTGACCTTCGTCTACAGAAAAAGTGTGATTAGTTTCTCACTCTCTTGATGGATATGATTCGATCCTGTCTCACCTTCATTACGCAACTTCACCTATTATTATTATTATTATTGTTATTATTATTATTAATCTTTTCTTACACTTCTTACCTTTGCATAGTTAATTCTCTTACTTGTTACGAGGACTATCAGTGATTTTGTTGTACAAATTAGGACTGCTGATTACCTAGTTTTGAAATATCTAACGTTTTAATAACCATTACACTTTAAGACTGTATGCACCTAAAGAGTATGCATGAAATAATGTCATCCTTCTCAGTTTTTTTTCAAATTTATCAAGTGATCAAAATGCATGAAATTTTATATTACTTACTCATTATTCATTAATGCCCATTCATCGGGCGACATACCACTAGGTACAACACGGTAATCGTGTAGTATATACCATTCACTCCGAAGACGATTAGTGTCTGGAAAGTAGTCTGTATCCACTGGTAAACAAGCTGGTACTATTAACGATTTCCAATCGACACCTATAAATGAATAAAATGACGAATACAAAATAACAATAATGGTGATAGCAACAATGATACTAGTAGCAAAATAAAGTAACATTCAACACCATTCAGAAAAAGAACATCTATGAAAATTTGCAAGATTCTGAAACACACGATACAATTTAATAGAGTAGAACACAAAAGACTTTTAAATATACACCTACACACACAAACATGACGTACTAATAAAAGTACTGGACACATAATGGAATCAAGCAGCAGGCGGAAACAAAGAGATATACAGATTAGAGCATTTGTTCACTTAAAATACTACAAGAAGAAAGAGATGTTAGGCTAAAATGTAAACGCGTGGAAATTCACAAAATTTAAAATCACCAACAGTCCAATATATTCATCGATGATGTAGATTTACACCATAGAAGAGAATATCAACCACTATATAGATCAATGTAGAGTGTATGGGATGATGTATCCGAGATGAATAACAATATACTTTTAATGTAACTAACATGTCAGTGAAAATCAATATAGAGACAAGTAATTTACTTGTCAAGAATATTAAAATAAGATAGTTATTTCGCATAAATAATAGAATTTCGTGCATTCTAAATATCAAACATATAAAAGTTAGGTGAAATGATAACAAGTATGCAACATATTTCAGTGTAATTTAACAGACTTAACAAACAATAAAACAAAAAAGGTAGCGAATGCTAAATAGGAATACAATTAGGATAGCCATTTGTTATAAAACAACAGAATTGAGCTCTAGAATGTGTTCAACTTGGCATTAACAGTTTAATTTTGCATTGAGCGATGTAAAAGTAAATGTTGAAGGTGCTGTTGACTTCTATTCACTTTAAAAATACATACTATTTTGAGGACTGATTACTAGTTAGCATAACAGCAAGGTTCAGAGCTCCCTCCTGAATGATTCCAAATATTTAATACTAACCGTCTATACTTCATAAAGAGAATTACTATTAATTAACAAGAAGTACATTGACTTTTCACTGAAATAAGATAGTCCTAACATCTAACCTCATGAAAAAAGTTAGCCAAAGCTTGTCGGCTACAACTCATTGCATATGTACATTCATGGGAAGAATAACCATAGCAGCAAACTGCCTATTCTTAACGGAGAATAAGTCAAAGGAATCAAGAATCCATTCATAGGGCTTCTCAGCAGTGGGTACCCACGAACCAGCCAGGGATTGAACCCCAAACCTACAGATCTAGCGCTAAGCATTAACGATTTCTTCCCTTCACTGATAGTCATGTTCACAGCTTACAATTTCTTGGTAATAATTACAGATATGCAATGGGAAGTCCTAGTAAGAAGTCCTGGTCAGTGGAGTAAGTAAGGTCGGACATGAGGATAAACACTCAACTATCGGGTAGAATGATGGCCGTGCTACGTCATGAATTGACAAAAGGAAAATACAAATAATTGGATTTCAACCCAGAGGCTCAATGGTAAAGTGCTAATCACGGAAGCTAAAGGTGCTTTCTGGATTCGATTCCTGTTGAGGTAATGGGTAGACACTGCCAAGGAGTTCCACACGTGAACGAAACAGCTGTCCAATGCTCCCAGGTTTTCAATGATTCGTCATTTCATGATTGCAGTCCATGATGAATACCGCCTTGAAATCAAGAAATCCCTACAAACCTCCAAAATGAAGAAAATAGAGTAACTGAACGATTATATCCTACTGGGATACTTTACATGAATTGTTGAAGCGTTACCAAAAGATTTATTTTATAGTATTGGTTTTCAGACGGTCATGTCAGCATTTTTTTTCATCCATTAATGACTATTCTATATCGTATTATTCAAAAGTAATAGTCATCTAATTGTAAATGATACTCAACTTTCTTCTGCGAAATTGCCTAATTCTTTGTTTATAATTGACTGTACGCTATGGTTATCAACATATAAGCTGTAAACTATTGAAGGCATAGGGAAACAATTGCTAACACTATTCTTTTCCTATTCTACTGACTGGCTGATACAAAAGTGAGATCCAGTGAACTGTAGAAGATATTCATCCATAGTTCAGGTAAGTTGAAAAGATACACTCAATTCTAATTAACTGCATCATGCGACAACCGCAAACATTAATTCTTAAAGTGATCATATTAGTAAGTTGTTATTCAATAGAATAAGTCTGTAAAGACATCAAATTCGAGCATAAACGGAAAGAAATTTCACCGAACAAAAATTAAAATAATATTACGCTATGAAAACCAAACGAAAGCAGGTCAAATTCTAAGAGGAGGGGGGAGGGGGAGGGGAGGGAATGAACATTTAGACAACGATATGGAGAGTATAAACAAATGTATACAACAACTATGACAAGAATCTGTTATAAAAGCCTGTAAAATTTGTTGGTACATAAACACTGATGTAAATATAATGAATAACCGAATAACGATCCACCATGAGGTATAATGTGCATTATTCAAAATAATACATGAATAGCTTACTGCTTGTTTAATACAGCAAACATACAATAAACAAACGACAATAACACCGAAAATAGGCGAGATAAAACAAACAAACTGATCTTGGGAACAATTAATAATTACCAATACGTCCCAACATTTTCCGTAGACCAGCTGAAAATAAATTAATGACTAATTTAAATGAAGGATAATATACTTATAGGTATTTACCTCATTAGTTTCGTCACAATTAATATAATACTCCTAAGGCATATTACAAATAGAATTCAACAACATGAATTATGAATCAAATGTTAAAAAAGTCATAACCATCACCCAAAATGTAACGCAAATTCAGTCTTCAATTAAAGTAAACATCAGACGAACAATCGGACAGCTAAGACAAGGAAAAGGAGACGTACACAGCCACTTTGTGTACATCTGTGCAGTAGACAATGAGCCACACCTATTCTGTGGAGACTAATGATACTACCTGGCTACCCAAACCTCGGTAGGTATGGCAGCCCACGAACCCGTGACCCAATGCTTGATAGTCATCTCCTGAAACCACAGAACCACAGCTCCACTGCAACTAAACCAGGTACTTCGCAAGTCAGGTCATCATCCACTACAATACACAATGATCGTCAAATAAGGAAACAACACTACACCGTGGATTCAGTCCCTGTCTATCTGAGTCATGCATGCAAGTGGAATCAAAATCCACTCAATAACCATCTCCATATTCGTTCAGTAGACAATGAGTCACACACATTGCGCAAGGGCCAACGATACTACCCAGCTGCCCAAACCTCAGTAGATGAAGCAGTGTCCGAACCCACTTTTTTGATTGCAATTCCCTAAATATCTGGAATATGATCATCTATGGAGATGTGTCCGTGTTTGATCATCATTATCATCATCATCATCGAAATAAACAACTGTTTGTTTATTTTCATTATTCGCTTTATTTCTACCACTAACATATCTCTGTAGTTCTCCTTGGCATTTTTTCTGTTTCTGTTCCTTTTGCAGAGCGTAATTATTAGAAGTAGCTAATCCAAAAAATATGAAGTGTTTACACCTTGTATTTCAAACAATCTGATCACACACTTACTTGTCAAGGCGGTTTCCATGCATACGAGAAAGTAGAAGGATAAATATGACAATAAGGAATGCGATGTTTAGAAAAGTAATAAAGAGGAAATAATAGGTTTGTCAAAAAAAAATAAGAAAAATGCTACTAGGGTAGGTTTTAGTGTAAGGACAAATTGATGATGAACAAACCAGGAGATTAGCGTTTCAGAAAACCAAATTATACGCGTCTGGTCGCTTCTATGCAAAAATGTAAAGGCTGCTTTAGTATCAATCCTGTGTTTTCTAGTAGTCGAAGATCGTTGTCTGACACCTAAGGTTGTCGATGTTTGTGAATTCACCTGCTTTTTTACCTATCTTGGTACATGTTCCACCACCCTTAAACATATACCTTAATTAGTCCTCCTGACGCGTGCGCCACACACATATACAAGTAAAGTGATAAATGCAGCGGGATGTAATGTAATCGGTTATTTATACAGTGATGAGGTCTGTACTGCAACATGCGTTTGGTTTTCTCAACAACAATAAGTCTAGGGTATAATATGCTTTGCTGACAGCAGACCTCTTAGGTTTCGTTTAAAAGTGTGCTGTAAGAGTCTTTTTCGTATGGTAGCGTGATATAAACGCCTTTCATTAGAACAGAACAAAAAGTCGGTATAAACATTGATTCATTTAGATAATGGTTTATGCTGTTATATCCTTTTAAATAAACATCTTACCAATCCTTGTTAATAGTATGTTGAGCAAAGTCTATAAACACTTAAGCACAGCCGCTTCCAAGTCAGTTTCCTGTATATCGACCACTTCGCTGAACTTTCTTCCCTATAACTCAGTAGTATATCCAAGAGTGACAGGCGGTTACCAGTTTCTTCTGCACGTGTTAAGCAGATATGATCTTGTGCGGCGTAAAGTCCTTCTGACAAACACGTCGTATCTTCTTGTCCCATAATAAAATTACACCGCCAACATATCCTCTAAAAAGAGTAACCTTAATGGTAAGATCACCAACCAAACTTTCAATATTTGACAAGTAAACATCATCTAGCTTGCCGAACCACTCACTCTTCAAAAACGTCCATCTTTAAATATGAAATATAGCTTATCAGTACATGATAACAGCAGCTCCTTCAGGCATGTTCAAGGGATTGGGAAGGAGAAATAATTGAAGAATAAAAAGTCATTATCCTTCTGTAACCTGTTGCAAAGTGTGACAGTATGAAATACTTTGACCATGTATAGGGCTATAGTCACAGTACAACCACACTAGGTATACATTTCACTTCAAAAAAACCTTGAAAAAACAACAGCATTTTTCGAAGTATGGTTACAGTAACTCGTTTTAATCATTTCACTACATTCCAGTAAGACCATCACTGACAAATAAAAGTAATCGGAAATCATAAAAAGAGAAAGTATAGAACACTAACCTTAAAAATAATTACTGTTCTCTTGCCACCCACCCATCCCTCACCAAGAAAACAATAACAGAATACAAGTCCAGAGACAAAATACCAACGAACAGTAAGATATTTTGTTATTAAAAGAGAAATTAAGAAGAATCTTTCTGTGTGTTGTTGCTGAAAATGCTTAGACATTGAAGACGACTAAGTATGGAGACTAAATATAATTAAAGAGATGATAAATGAATGAGAAGAACAGAGAGAAAAACACAGTAAAAGATGAAGATGCCCAAAGAAAAATGTATGTTTCTAAGCTAAATATAATAAGACACAATAAACACTACATACACTAGAGGTACGTGCATACAAAACTAATAAACAACTAACTTGAAGGATAACTTCAGGACGCTGTAAAACAAAAACTATGAACAATAACTTCTCTTGGTAGACTGAAAGAAAATTAAATCAACCTCCACTTCAAATTGAGAGGTATACAGGACAGCAGAAAGGAGACAGTCTTGATTTGATGCTAAAGAAAAGATATACACTCTAAATGTACATATAAAAATCTTCAGTACAATCAAGATAATAAATGAAGTGTGTACATCAATGAGGCAAGAAGTGTTCTCATGCCCCAACATCATTTGTGAATGTGTGTATACAAATATAAGTGAAGATGAATCTGAAAACAATAATAGGTATCTAAACAAGACAAAATGGGGTCCAAATATCCAGGGGAACCATCAAAACTATGATAAAGACCATTCTAAACTAGTTTGAAATACAAACTACACTTGAAAAGCATGAACAGCTGTGATTAATTGAAGAAGACAAGCAAAAAAGAGCACTAAAACACAAAATATGAATGACTAAGGGCAGTAACATAGAAATTTACTATTGGTCAAATCCAAAAAATACAACACGATTTAGTGAATGACTATCCAGAAGATCGTAGAAAAGTCAGGAAAGTACAGATTTGAAAGAGAACAAAGAAAAACAATTAAACTAGCAAATAAACCAACTAATCATTCAAACGCAGATATGTATGCTGCTTCATTGTTCACACTTGTGGCGTGGAGCACAAGCCGGTTCAAACTTGCGAGGAAGTAAAATAGTCAGAACTAACGTAGAACCTCGCACACAAGTACATCGGTCCAACTTGCCACAGTAGCATACAAAGAAGAAGTGAATACAAAGAGTTAAACTGAGGTATGTCAGAGAATAAACAAATTGAAGATGAAGGTTATTGCGAGTATTCAAGCTTTAAAAGATGTAAGAAAGTGAGTGAAAACATCTAACCCACTGTGACGCATTTTTCGACATGTTCACACGAGTCTCTAACCACCAGTTCGTCTTCCGAACTTCAGACAGGTAGTCTACATATATAACCTCGCAGATGACAATTTACCTCATCAATCGACACCTCTGCCTTACCTAGTACCCTTTTCCAGACCTCAATAATGCTCACACGATGATTCTACCGAAACGCCAGCAATATTACCAAGATACCTAAGGTCAAACATTGGTAACCACTTCATGTCTTCTACTTTCAATGAACATATCTTACAACCGTATAACAGGGCAGAGTGGACAGCACTTGCGTATACTCATTCTCTGATTGATGGTCGTATACTTCTCCAGTCAGCGTCACAGATGACGCAAGTTGTTAAACTCCAAACGACTTTTCTGAATCAAAGCTGGAATTTCGTCATCAACAAGGCTGTTCGAGCTGATGTAATTCACCAAGCAAGTGAAGTGGTAGAAACCTTTCACTACTTGAATATCTATCACTAATCTAAGAGTGATTACCGACCAATCAGGAAGCATCATCTTCCACTTAACACAAGACACCGAAACCCATCCCAAATATATTCAGATTTCTGGTCAATCCATTCACAAGACCCTGCAATTTGTCAGCGTATTCATCCAGCAGGATAAAACAACCTGCACAATGAACATCAACAAAACCCCTACAAAAGTAGATCAATCCCTGTGAAGTCAGATGTACTTACACATCTGCTCATTAGTACGTCAACAACTAAGTTTTAAATAGCAACAGTAACAGTCGATATACCAAACAAACACCACTAAGTATCATCACTCCACGTAACAACTCTCCACAATCCTTTACACGACTGCGTGAGTTACACTAAACAGCTTTCATTAGCATCATATACTTCCTCAGTACTCCCTTCACACTCATATAACAAATCAAGGTCTATACACTCAAATACCACCTGCTTTCACGTCAACCACGTCAATATACCAAGTGTCAACCATTAGCCATACATATCCCTCTGCTTCAGAACCTATCAGAGGGTAGAAATATCATCGATACAACTCCCCCAGCTTTGTCTGAAACCTGACTGCTTCCATCGACTTTCCTCTTCTCAAGCTCCAGTAATGCAGCGGATAACTACCCACCCTACTATCACAAACACAATATCAGTGAAACTAATACCCCTGTGAAGGTCACAAGAAGACTCCTCTCCTTCTCATACACTAGGCTGACCAGCAAAGTACACTATTCTCATGGCACTATCTCTTATTCCAGTAAACCACCTAGTACACCCGTCAATCTAATCACCAGTTTCCTACACTCATTCATCAAAACTTCATATGGAAAACTCTCAGGTCAAACCGATTTGCATCGTTTCACTTTCCATACAGTTTTAT